CTGTGGTGGCCATCCTGAATTGGGTTGGCTCCAAATGTTAATCAGTTTTAGGCATATATATCAGTGTTTCCCCTATTATTATACAAGCGGAGTGCCCTGCCTCATCAACAGAACCGGGCCCACTGTCAACATAACCGCACACCCCCTGCCCCCCAACCACCTGTTGGCATTGACATAAAGCTAAGCTAGCGGCTCGCAATTCAGGTGTGCTAGCTAAAAAGATAAAGCAGCCTCTTCCCTCATGCTGAACCCCTCCCCCCTACTTGAAAACTGTCGGTACAAACAACGCGAGGCTGTCTCTGTAGTAGACTAGAAGAAGTAATTAAGTCACTGAATCAGGTGTGTTGAAGCAGGGAAACAGCTATGGTGTTCCTCAGGGCCCAGGGTTGGGAACCTTATTGCCTCTAACAGTGTTTTTATTTGGCTAAAGAAATTAAATTTAGTTTTCTGAAAAAAAAAACCCAAAACAAACAAGTGACATTCAAGACCTTTTTACAAGTTTGCTTTAGCATACAGAGAATTGTGTTCCAAAGATATAGTTCATGTTAATTTAAATTTAACAATTGTCTTATTTTAAGATTAACGATGCCCGCGGTGGGCTTCAAACACTTGTTTGTAAAATGTTTTAATTCCTTCAATTTTTTTTTTTTTTTTTTCCAACTTTATCGTTTTCTGGTTAATGCCAAATCAGAGACGTACTCCCCGGCAGTAGGTAGGCTTAGAAACCTCGTGTTTGCCTGGCAACCTGGTGCCCCAGCGACCCACGTTGCCGTGGCAACCAATGAGGATGTGGTACTGCCATGAGGAAGTGGTCACCATGGACATGAGCCAAAGGGCAGCTGGTGTTTGTGTGTGTGTGGTTGCTCATTTGAATACAGCGTCCTGAATCTGTCAAGGAGCCGTATGCTCTTTGAAACAAAACAAAAAAAAAACAACAACAACAACAAAAAAGAAAACTGTAGCAGCCCGTAAACACAAAACAATCAGTGCTTTTGTTTTAACGCTGTTGTCCTGTTATCTGTTTATTAGTTTGTCCCCCCTCCCTCTTCCCCCACCACCTGCAAACTCCTTAATTTCAAACATGCATACACACTCGCACTTCTTTTAAATGTTGCCATTTTATTGCTGTTTAAACTTTTTTCTGCTCGAATGTTTGACTTATTTTCAGCTCTTCTTTGTTGTGTAAATTAAAACAATCCAGATTATTAAAGGTTTGTCTGCATTAAATAGTACTTAAGCAGTTCAGTTAAGAGTGAAAACTCAACATACTGTATGTACAATTGCTTCGATGGAAAGAAACAAAGGTTTAGATAATGCTGTGGTGTGTGTGTGTGTGTTGGGGGATGGGGCCTTAGAGTGTGGTAGGAGTGTGAGAGGGAAAGTGGGCATTCTTCAACCACCCCCACGCAGACCTAACCCAGGGCCGATTAAGGCCAGAAATTCTAATTACGCTCCAAAACATGCCAGACTGTGGCACCCATCTGTGCCATAAGTTTTCATTACAAAGATATAATGTGCTTTCATCTATCCCGTCACAAAATGTCAAACAAAAATGAACTAAATGCACAAAGCTACACACGGCAAAATGACCAACTTTACCCCAACAATGGTCACAGAGGTCTTGATCTGATTGTTCAAGAACACAATGAACAATGTATTATTCATTGGGATTTATGGGAACTGCACCTGAACAAGTCATCGCTTCACATGTTTGAGTCCACTGGGACCACAATGGCTCTCACATCCCTTCACATCCTCACGTCAAGTTATGAATCACATTTTTGATTTGTGCATATAAAAATTATGAACTTGATCTTTTGGTAACTAGCATTAAGTTAAATTTACATGAAAACATTTTAAACCTCGTCTTCAGCTCTGATGGCATCAGGCTTGTATAAGACATTTCTTCTTCTTGTTCTTTCGGCTTTTCCCTCTTCAGGGGTCTCCACAGCGAGTCATCATCCTCCATTTCACTCTGTCCTCTGCATCCTCTGTCCTCACTCCAACTACCTCCATGTCCTCTCTAACTGCATCCACATATCTCCTCTTTGTCTTTTTCCTGGCAGCTGCATTTCTAACATCCTTCTACCAATATACCCACTGTCCCTGCTCTGGACATGTCCAAACCATCTCTGTCTGGCCTCTCTAACTTTATCTCCCAGTTGTTCAACCTGTGCTGTACCTCTGATTATCTCATTCCTAATCTTATCAATCCTTGTCACTCCTAAGGAGAACCTCAACATCTTCATTTCTGCCACTTCCAGTTCTTTCTCCTGTCAATGCCACAGTCTCCAGACCATACAATATAACTTGTCTCACCACTGTCTTGTAAACTTTTCCTTTGACATTTGCTGACACCCTTTTGTCACAAATCACTCCTGAAACTTTTCTCCATCCACTCCATCCTGCCTGCCTGGACTCTCTTTTTCACATCTTTACCACACTCCCCATTTTCCTGGACAGTGGACCCCGAGTTCTTGAAGTCCTGCACCTTTGTGACTTTTTCTCCTTGTAGCCTCACTGTTCCACCAGCCTCACTCACACTCATGTATTCTGTCTTACTATGGCTGACTTCTTCTTTCAAGTGCATACCTCCACCTCTCCAAGTTTTCTTCCACCTGTTCCCTGTTCTCACCACAGATCATGTCATCTGCAAACATCTTAGTCCATGGAGATTCCTGCCTGATCTCATCTGTTAGTCGGTCCATCACCAGAACAAACAAGAAGGTACTCAGAGCCGATCCTTGACGCACTCCCACCTCCATCTTGAAGCTTCCTGTCACTCCTACAACACATCTCACCACTGTCCTGCTGTCCTCACACATGTCCTGTACCAGTCTAACATACTTCTCTGCCGCTCCAGATTTCCTCATGCAAGACCAGATCTCCTCCCTCGGCACCTTGTCACATAAATCCAGAAATGACCTTTCTTGTCAGTTTGTTTAAGATGTTTAACTATATTAAAATCTTCATAAACTTACCAGAACTTTGAATGAAAAAGCACAATCAAATGACGAGACTGAAAATCAAACTAATGCCTCGTCCACACAGAAACTGTGTTTTAGGAGACCCAAAACTCTCTCTGTCCCTACCTACCTACTTTCATACATACATACACACATACATATATAAAGAATTTTAGAAAAGCTGACTTTGACCAACCTGTTAAAGATGTGACAAACGTAACAATAATGGCAGTTTACATGCTTCTACTTGTGTTGCAGATGCTAGTTGCTCAACAACAGTAAAACCTTTGTTTACTGTATTACTTCTGTTAACAGACAAGGCACCAAAGTAATCTGAGACCAAACTGGTTTTTACTCAAGTTCTTACACTATCCTGTCAGATTCATAGCCATAAAAAGATGCAGCACAGTTGTAAAACAATCAAAACAAAACAAAAAAATAAAATAAAACTTGGTTTTCTCATCTCCACAGCTGAACCCTGTTCAGATGGGTTGGACTGAACCAACTCAAAGTTTAGAGATGGGGGGCCTAGAAACAGTTCTTTCCTGTGTAATTTTTTTTTGTCACTAAAATAGAAAAAATTTAATAAATAAACACTACATGCTTTTGTCTTATAGAGCATAATAAAATGTTTTAAGCAGTGCTTAATTTGAGCTGGATTCTGCCAGAACAGGATCCAGGAACTTTTATTTTGACAGGGTACATTCCAGCAACTCTTTGCTTGGATCCGGTAATGCAAATCTCCACCCCTAAAAGTCCAAAGTCATCGCTAGGCCTGTCATGATAACAAATTTTGCTGAGCGATTGTCTCAGAAATTATTGCGATAAATGATAATATTGTTTGAAATTTAACTAATTAGTAATTGTCAAATTTAATAAAAAATGTTGGTTAATTTTTATGTGTAGTACCTTTTTTGACCACTGGATGGTAGTATAAGATTGTTTAAACCGAAGGATGGATAGTGAGGGAATGATCAGCATGTCCCTTTAAGAAAAATGGGAGAGAGGCCCCTTGACATGACATGGGCTGTCTCTCATTCGTGTTTGTTGGTTCTCAAAATGACGAACAGTTTGTGTGGTTTGAGCTCTTTAGCATCGCATTTTTCACACAAAGCTTTTAATTAAAAAAATCACTAAACAAGTTCTCAGCTTCTTTTTGCAGAAAAAAAAACAACTTTTTACACAAAGGCACGGGTTTCAACCGTGAATTTTGGAGCTTTGACAAGACAAAGATTTTTTTCTCAAGGTCGGCCTGTTAGCTCGTAGCTTAGCTTCTCAGCTTAGCTGCTTTTACCGATCCAAAAACGTGATTTTGGATGGTTGAAACAGATTTTAAAGAGAAAAGAGAAATTGAGGGCTCAGTGAAGAGCACCAGTGTTGAGTTTTTTTGTCATCCAGTGTCCAGTAGAAAGAGAGAGACCAAGAAATGATGAAGCCGATAAATGAAAATGAGGTTCATAATTTTCATTTATCATGCGATTAATTGATTTATTGTTTATCGCGACAGGCCTAGTCATTGTGCATTTTTATTAAAAAAAAAACCTACAAAATATAATAAATAGCACAACAAAATTGCAAATCGGTTTTATAGTTTGTGGGTCATTAATAAAATTTTGATTATTTGTTAAAAATACGAGAATTTTTTTTTATGGCTAATCACTTGACGTACGTACATTACGCAAAAACAACAGTACCAACTTGTCAAAATAACAGCGATCAAGGTGCTCCGCCTGCTTCAATGAGCAGGAAGCTATGGTTCTTTTCAAAAAGCGTTCAATACAAAAACAACTGGACTTTATTTTGTTTTTGTATTGAACGCTTTTTGAATTCATCATGTCCTAGATGACTGAGAATCTTCACCAGCATGAAGCTATGGTTATAAACATTTTTAGAAACTGCGTTGTGTTTCTGAGAATCTTTTACATACAGTATAATATAGTTTTGACAATCAGCACGTCCATGTGGATGAGGTCCAAAAGAGACCAGTAGAAACTTTTCTGAAAAGGAAGGAGGGTGGACATAAAGAGGACTCACCTTGACGTCGGAGAAGTACATTTTGAGCATGTTGGACGAAGGGTATCGAGTGTAGAAGAACATCAGCTTTGCTTTCTTCAGATGGTTTGGAGACAAGCCCTCCTGAATCTGAGTGATGCCAAGTTAAGGAGCCAACAGAACCTTTAAAACATCACACTAAAGAAACTGCCTCTGTTGTGACACTGGCTAAAGACACATTTTGGAGCATCGTTGTTTGACTTGCGCCATCATTTACCACATGCGTACTATTTCAGATGTCTTTAAGAGGTCATTTGATAATGAATGGGCATTATTCTCAGATTTTTGCTTGTAAAACACTTGATACTTATTTGGTTTTGTATAAGCAAGTCTTATTTACTGTTGACACAAACACGAGCAGCTCGTAATTTCTCTTCCATAGAATATAGTAAGATCTCATACATTCTGTTAGTCCTCAGAATATGTGATGTGGGTGTATTTTAGCTGCTGCCACACTAAATTTTAGCTTATAGTGTGAGTGTTTATGAAGCATTCACACTATTGTGACCCATTTTTCTTCTGTACGTTTTTCTGTATCATTCTCATTCCACAATTTTTGAGCTATTTCAACAAATCGTATATCAAAACATTCAGCTCGTTCAGGAGAAGGGAGCTATGACTTTTGGTATTGGTGCAACGTTAGCTTTTTGAAATATTTAGGCTTTTCTGACACATTTTCCTAATAGAAAGTGAATTGAGCTCATTTTACCTCCTTCAAATCTTTAGATATGTTTACAGCCTTTTACTGCTCCTTTCACATTTTGTTATGCTTCAGCTTCTTTCAGCTTCCTTGTGCAAGTTTAAACTTTTTTCAGCTACTTTTAGCTACTTTCAGCTGTTTTCAAATAAATTCAAGTTTTTTGTGCTAATTTCTGCTACTTTCAGCCTAATTAAATTATTTCTGTTCATTTCAGCTTGTTATACTCATTTCAATTTATTTCTGCTAGTTTAAGTATTTCAGCTACTATTTAGCTGTTTTCTGCTAATTTTAGCTTTTTCATCTAAGTCCCCATTTTTTTGGCAATAATTTCAACTTTTTTCAGCCTAATTCAGCAACATGTGCTCTCTACACTTTCTCCTGTAACTTAAGTGTTTTTCTGCTTTTTTTAGCTACTTTTCAGCTGTTTGTTGTTGTTGTTGCCAATTTCAACTTTTTTATAATTTGCACTTTTTTATGCTAATTTCTGCTTCTTTCAGCAAACATGTTCTTTCTGCCTTCTTCTGCTAATTTACACTTGTTCTAACTTTTCAGCTAGCTTTTTAGCATTCTTAGCTAATTTCAGCTGTTTTCACATAAATTCAAACTTGTTGTGGTAATTTCTGCTACTTTCAGTCTAACTTATTTCTGCTAATTTCAGCTTATGCTCATTCCATCCTTTTTCTGCTAGTTTCAGCTTTTTCTGCCATTTCAGCTATTATTTAGCTCTTTTAATGCAAATTTGAGCTTTTTCAGCTAATTCCACTTTTTTTTTAAACTCATTCAGTTAGTTCCACTTCCTTCTGGTAGATTAAGCTTCTTTCTGGGGGAGTGGTGGTGCAGAGGTTAGAGAAGGTGGGTCTGTGATCGGAAGAACGCCGGTTCAAGCCCCGGTACCGACAACATCAAAAATGTGGGTGGGGTAGGTGAAGCACCCACACCTGCCTCCACCCTCATTTGCCCCCCTCTGGGCCCATGAGCAAGGCCCTTAACCCCCATCTGCTCCCTAAACGGGTCTCTCTTGAAAATGAGTTCTCGTGGCTCAATGAGACTACTTGTATAAATAAAGTGTAAAAAAGAAATGCAAAGCTACTTTCTACATTTTCAGCTACTTTTCAGCTGTTTTTGCAAATTTCAGCATTTTTTTTAGTTTATTTCCTAATTTTTGTGCTAATTTCTGCTTATTTAAACCTAATTCTACAAATGTGTGTGTTCTTTCTGCTTTCTTCTGCAAACTTAGGCTTTTTTTTCCCATTTCGGCTACATTTCAGCATTTTTATTTTATTTTATAATGTTTGGCTGTTTTTCAGCAAGTTCTGCAGCAATAAACATTCACACTGCATTTTTGCAGGAAATGCAATTTCTCTAGTTATTCATAACATTGACTGAGTTAGAGCTATTTTTGTCTTAGTTAAAGATGTACAGCCCTTTTTATGATTACACCTACACATACACAGAGAAAGAAAGAGAGAGGGAGGGGGAGATTTACATGTTCACTTAACGGGTGGTGTGAAATTCTTAAACCTAAAACCTCTAAATGAATTAGTTTTAGAGGATGATGAATGTTCACACTTATGCTCCTAAGTGCTATTTTTAAAAATTATATCAAATATAGAAAATTAGGTCCGAATAACCGGAGTCTTCAGAAGGGTGTGTCGGTTTCCACCCATAGCAAACACGAGCACCTGCCGGTGTTTGATCAAATCCCACAATCACCTCTGCATCTCGCCAGCTCTGCAGAGACCGTCGCACTGTCTCGACAACCAAAATAATAATTGTGAAGGCCCTCAGATGCAGGGGCGCCAAGTGTAGCTTGTGTGTCCAGCAGTGTGTGTGAGTGTGTCTGTGTGGTTTTGAGTGTGTGCTGACAACAGCTGTGGCCCACCACGCTGCCATTCCCCCACCACATTAACAAGCCTATAATCTATCAGAGAAGATGAGGCAATCAATGGAGCCCCCTGCAAGGTCAATTAGCACACAGCGACACACACACTCATAAAAAACAATAAACTCCAGGGGCTATGTACAGCTGGAAAGACCAAATCCAAAAACAGTCTGAGCAGAAGAAATTTAAAATGTTTGAATGTATTTTTCCGTATATTTGTTTTATTTTTTTATTGGACTTCTCAAAAAGGTGAAGGAGGATAATTGTTGTCTCACAAACAAATTTCAATGAAATCTCCGCAAAGAAATGCTGGGATGTTCTACTGCAACTCATTAACTTATGGAGTCAACCCAATTAAAGACCATGACTAATCAACTTTAGCAAAAACAAAAATGTGTAACTCAGCCATTTTTACAAATAATGAGCTAAGAACGGGCCTTAATTTGAGCCGGATCCTGCCAGAACAGGATCTGGGAACTCTCTTATTTTGACAGGGTGCTTTCAGGTAAATGTTTGCTTGAATCCGGTAACTCTTGACTTACTGATAATAAAGTTATGAACAAATGTGACTGGCTTGAGTGAATAAAACTTATATTGGCTATTTAAACTGAAAATAATTACATAAACACTCATTGTAAACACAACAGCCACTTACAAGCTTCTTAGGGTGTTTTCACACCTGATAATCCAGTAGACTCTGTTCGATTGGGGACCAAAATTCAGAACATTTGTTTACATTTTCAGCTGGTGCAGTTCACATTCACCCTGCACTGAGTCACTTGAGCCAACCTGTCCCCCCACTCGCCTGTGGTGGCGCTGCACCAGGAACTGCTCAAGGAAACGACACAAAAACAACTGAATAAGAGACTTCTCCTTCTGAAACTAAAAACAAAAATGGAGTCGAGTCAAATTTTAGCGATTTTTAGTATTCCTGTTTTGTCATTTTTCAACAATGGACTCAGCATGAGCGGAAGATGAAGCAGAAGACCATGGAGAATGTTGTTTTTCACACAAGGCAGCTGACGGCTCCATATGAGTTAAGAGAAATGCGTGTTTGTTTGTCCTGCGCTGTAGTCCACTTCCTGCTTTTTGAGCGGTCTCCAGTCCGCCTCCATTCACAATGCATTCAAACCGTGCTAGTGTTCACTTCAACTGAACCGAGATCTATGTATTTAGGCAGACCAGAGGTTGCTTTTTTGTCTGCACACCACCCCAAACAAACCAAACTTGCTAGGCAAACGGTCTAGAGTTGAATTAAAGCAGTCTAAACAGGACTGGCATGAATGCGCCTTTAATATCACATGTGATCTACCTCTTCAAGTAGCATTTCCGCTTCTACCCTTGAAAAAAATCTCCATCCCTAAAAGAGTGGTGGGGGTGAGTGCTGAGCTAACCAGGCAGTCGTACGTGGGCAGGAACCCAGATGGAGGAGGCGCCTGGAGGTTTCACATGTGGAGTCGGACATTGAATTCAGCGGAGAGGAGTTTGCTCTGAACCGTCAAGTAAGGGGTAGGATGCTTGACAGAAGTGGAGTGTTTACAAATGTAGTTAGACATTGTAAGAACCTGTTAACATACACCAAAATGCAGGAAATTGGATCTACTTTATCCAAAATTTTCAGGGGGAGGACCCCCCACCCCCAGTTGGTCACACCCGCTATTTGCGTTCCAGCATCGATCGGTTTACAAATTAAACCTTTGCTAAGAATATGGCCTGGTGGTAGCTGAGCCTGGTCACTAACATATAATCTAAGCACTAACAGATTGAGCAAGATCCTTGTTTAAATATATGGCCTGCAAAATGGCGGGTGATGTTTTTTTGAGAGGAATGCTAGTTTAATTTGTTGCCGAGTCCCATATCAAAATTATTCTCGACGATTTTGTTTAGAAATAAAATCTTAAACATATTCTTCAATATTTTAAATCAGAACCTGATGCGATTAAAAATGATAAAATCGCACATACCGGTAATACTTTAAAGGCTGCAACTCATAAGATACTCCTATGTTCACACTGCAGGTGCTAATGCTCAATTCCAATGTCTTGCTCAAATCTAATTATTTGCGTGGTGGCAATATCATTTCAATGCGACCTCTATGTGCTAGCATCAATTCGGAAGTTGTTGCGCAATCAGGTGGACTAAAATATGTTTTACATTGTTTATTTTGCCGAATGTTTGTTTGATCTTGTTGCTTTGTGTCTATTCCAGTGCAGTATTGTACTTCTGGAATGGGAATGACATGAAGGTAGAGGCGAGAAACAAAGTCAAGTATCAATTCTGTCATGTTGGTATTGATATGATCGAACACGCTGGTACACCACTGTCAGTATTACATGTTGCTTTAAAAGTCACTTTGAAAATACCTCAAATAAAAAGACAACATATTAGAAAAATCTGATTTTTCACGTCCGAACTGTTACTTAAAAAGCCCATATGGGCCAGAAGTCGAATATAGGCCACTTGTGCCTGCAGTGTGAATGTAGCTCAAGTCTAAAACTCATGAAAGGC